TTCCTTATTCTGTCAGAATAGGTTGATTCTAGTTCCTTATTTTGTTTGTTGGGTATATTCTTGATAATACAAATTCTTAAAGAATATTCTTGCAGAATAGTTTATTTTGTAAGAATATTATTTGTTGTATTCTGATAAATTGTAGTTAATTATTTGTATGTTTAATGTGCAGGTTTTACAAGTGTATCACTACAAATTACTTGGCAATGAATTTCTGGTGGAAAAGGCTTCAAGAATGGATTGAAGACCTGATGGGAAAGGGTTGAAGAATGAATTAAAGAATGATCACACTCATTTTTTAAGAATGTTGTTATCTTTTAAGAATTATACTTGTTTATTCTTTTAGAATGTTTGTTATTATTCAATGAATCACAATCATACAATGTAATTTTTTGATATATTATTAGTTTAAGAATCGATTTTGTGTATTCTTTCAGAATGTATTTACTAGTTTATGTTTGGCATTCTGCCATTCTGACAGAATAAAATCGAAAAATGCATTTACTAGTTTATGGTTGACATTCTATCATTCTGACAGAATAAAATCGGATTTTTAAATTTGAATTAATTTAAAATATTCAGATTTTTAAAAAATAAAGGAATTAATCATCCCTAAAAATCCGAAAATTTCCTTTTTTAATATAGGTTAATTGACTAAAATGCCCTTATTCTGAAATTTGTGTGATTATATGGTACATGCTATCCTATTCTACTACCATAGACCCTCAAAGCATGACATTTGATTATATTCCATCCGATGGTCCAGATCTATGCATTCTGGCACACAATACTTAGTAAAAACAAAATAACCTAACCCTATATATATATATATATATATATATATATATATATATATATATATGGGTAAAGTGAATATACCTAACAACCTTATATAAGCTTAGGTACCTAACCTCATCAAACTAGATCATTTTGCATTAAATTTTCATTGCAATCATGTAAGGTTCTTAAACTTTATCCCTAAACTTGATTTACTACAAAAAAAATTTGGACATTCATCATTATATTTCTCCTACATCATTTCATTTGTAGCGGTAGGATATGAAGTCTATCAGGCGGTATTCAATAAAAATACGTGATGTAAAAGAAAGATATTGGTGAAAGTCCAAAGATTTTGGAAGTAATAAAGTTATGGGGTTGAAGTTTAAGAACCTTAGGCAATTACAATGTAAATATGATACAAACCGATATAGTATTATGGAGTTAGGTACCTAAGCTTATATAAGGTTGTTAGGTATATTCACTTTTCCATATATATATATATATATATATATATATATATATATATATATATATATATATATATATATATATATATATATATATATATATATATATATATATATATATATATATATGCACACACACACATACATACATACACACAAACACACAAAATCATATATTATAATGTTAAAAACACGGATATAAGTCATTTAATCGCATTAATCGATAATTATTAACACTTTAAATTAAAAAAATAAAAAGTTGGGTGAAAGTTACTTCAACTGAATTCTTTAGTAAATCAAAAATATTATTAAAGTAATTTCATTTACAAAAATCAAGATTACCTATGTCCTCCTTGGTTTTTAAATCTTACAATAAATAAGCAAAACAAAGATGGTATATATCACTACCAACTTGTATCAACCAAAATTATTGGTAGCCAAACAATTTGATACTAAATATACTTGGTATGGTACTTGTAACAAAAATACGTAGTTTGTATGGTACCCCATCGTATGGAGGAAAATAAATGGAAGCATATCATGTTCATCCATAATATAAACTAAATTTCGAATTTGTTTTGTATGGTCTTTCTGTAATATATATATATATATATATATATATATATATATATATATATATATATATATATATATAACACGTTGATGTTGATCGTGACATCGATGATGAAATTAACTTTTAACTTCTTAAGTATGAAAAATAATTATTGTTGCTACAAACCGTAAAATTAAGAATGAAAACATCTTAAGCGGAAAATAAACAAGATAACTGTGATTATGTACAACTAAAGACATGAGTTTACAACAAAAAGATGTTTTGTATTGCAATTTTAACCTGTAAATATTTTTTAAAAAAATTAGTGAATTTTACATATCTGACATGTAAAAATCTTAATTTTCCAGATATAATTTGCAAAAAAAAAAAATCACACACACACACATACATACATACATACATACATACATACATATATATATATATATATATATATATGTTAAAAGTCTTCGAAATACATATTGCTTACACAATTATAACTAACTATAAACTTTTAGAATAATAAGATTATTCATGGATTTAACATGTTAATATAGAACACAACAAGTATTGATGTTATGATCATATCCCAGGATATCAAAACATCATATAATAGTTGTTGTTACAATGTTCCAATATCCAATACTAAATCAAAATTAAAATCTCATTTCTAGAATAATAATGTATTATAGTTGAAGTATGGTCATTCATACTTAGCTTAAAAGATGGACTTTATTAATAGGTTCGACTAAACTTAATTTGTGTGAATTCTGCAAATATTATCATCTCCACATTTGACTTTACTTTAGGTATAGTTAAATATCTTGGAGTATATGATTGGTATTCTTTCATGACATAGAGTCACTTAGCTCGATTAAGTATTCTCTCAAAGTCACAAAGATTTCTTTGTGATCATGGAATGGCTGAAAATCAACATAGTTTTTCAATGAACCCATTCATCCAATCATAATAGATTTAAACTTCTAAAGTTGTGTATTCTTATTTTGCAGTAGATTAAGTCATTTTGTTTTGCTTGGACCTCATTCCAACTAAACTTACTCTTCATCCCACAACAGTGGCGGAGCTAGATGGGGCGTTGGCAGTATTACAGTACCTCCAAAAAAATTGTTTTATATATATAAATTTTTTTTTGTAAACATGTTTCATGTTATTTGTGACAACCCGAAATTTTCTTAACTGTACATTCAACCACTTCATTGAAAGTCAAACTCATTCCTGCTATCATTTAGCATAATTTGGAGTCTGTTTGAGCGTTCTGAGCCTTGTACACTTAAGGGATAAGTGTTGGGGTTTATCTACTGAAGTAATAGCACAAAGAACAAGCCTGAAACACCTTAACCAGGAGTTCACGGCCACCACAATTGAGTTTACGGTCGTAAACTCACCTTATATGATCAAGTGAAGGCCATTTGTTCATTCCTTTCATTTCCTTGGCTGATTCTATCCCAAATCCTCTCAACTATCATCCCGATCTTCATCCTCGATCTTCAAAACTAGTAAGTTTCTTGTCCTACCTAGTTGATATATTACTTGATCTAGTGATCTTACATGATTTCATCCGTGAAATCATTCCATTTGTGTAGATCTTCAAGTTTCACCAAGAACACCAAGAACACACACTAGTGTTCTTGGCTAAAACCGACCATTCAAGCTCCTAGATCGTAAGTACTCTTGTTCTAACTTGTTATGTACTACGTTTAACCTGTTTAGGCCTTAGAAACATCAAGAATCAATGGTTGAATGAGAGTTTACAGCTAAGGGTCTCCCAAGGCCGTAAACTCCCTTTTATGGTGCAAAGTTGACCTAATATCCTTCCTTATGCCTAGAACTTGGATTAGAACCGACCACCATTGAACTAGGGACCTTAAAACATCAAAAAGACCATGAACCATTAGATTTTACGGCCGTAAACACATGGAGAAATGGTCCATGGGCCATAAACTCCACAAAGGGGTGAAATGATGCCACAATCACTTCCAAAGGCTTAGACATGAAGTAGGAATGTTTCTTTATGACTTATAGGCTTCAAGACACAAAATGGTAGAAGTACCATGAGTTTACGGCCGTAAACTCATGGGTTTACAACCGTAAACTCCAAGGGAGTTGGTCCCAAAACCGTAAACTCATAAAGAATTTACCCTTGGACCCTAAACCCAAAATCCAAGTCCTACAACCCTTAAATGCAATCCTTGGGACTTATAACACTTAAATCAAGTGTTTTTACATGTCTTAGAATGTTTTAACTTGTATAATTAATGTTATGATTACTAATTGTATACATACATATGTCTTTATATGTGATTAGGATCGTTGTGTGTGTTCAAGTCTTCACTTGACACCTAGCTCTTGTCTGACACTTCCATACGATCCACCCACTACAAGTGAGTTCATACCCCTTAATTAACCTTTTAAATGTTTATAAATGCTTTTATGAGGGGAATACAAGTTGAATCATGCTAGTTATTATATCAATCACATGTGATTAATAACTAGCATACAAATGGACTTACTGCATTTTGAAGCTGTTTACTCAGTAAACTACTTCCAAATGACTTATCAAAATGTTTTTATATGTTAAACTCTTTATCAAACTGTCTTACATATTGTAACTTTCCTTTCAAACTTTGTTACAATTGTGTTTCAAACAAAGGATTTCTTATACTTTAAATTGTTCTTATCAAACAAACTGTTTTCAAATCATTTTATAAACTGACATCAAGTCATCAATTCTTATTTATTAAACTTTTCAAAGGTTTTACAAAACTTCTTTTATACTTTTATATTGTCAACTTCATGCCTATGTATGTATAGTTATATAAGTAATGTTTAAAGGACTTAGGACTGCTAGCTCGCTTTAATTCCTTTTCCTTGTTTGGATGTGGCCTTATGGTATCGGTTATTTGTCTGAATGTCGTCTAAATATTAGTTATATATATCATGTATACGTATATAGACATAAAAGTTCTATCAATCAATTCGGTACCTTTGGGTAGCAAAGGCATACTTTCAGTTATACACGTACATTACTAGTAACTATAATAGGTATAGTTAGGAGATACTACTTACTATTCCAAGTACAAGGAATCACACAAGAGTCAGTTCTTTCATGAGTCTATACTAATACATTACATAATATATGAAGAGATAGTATTACGTACTATTATAGAAGTACAATTACA